GACAAAGAATGCTGAGTTGCATCCAAAGAACACCATACCTACTGTGAAGCATGGGGGTGGAAACATCATGCTTTGGGGCTGTTTTTATGCAAAGGGACCAGGACGACTGATCCGTGTAAAGGAAAGAATGAATGGGGCCATGTATCGTGAGATTTTGAGTGAAAACCTCCTTCCATCAGCAAGGGCATTGAAGATGAAACGTGGCTGGGTCTTTCAGCATGACAATGATCCCAAACACACCGCCCGGGCAATGAAGGAGTGGCTTCGTAAGAAGCATTTCAAGGTCCTGGAGTGGCCTAGCCAGTCTCCAGATCTCAACCCCATAGAAAATCTTTGGAGGGAGTTGAAAGTCCGTGTTGCCCAGCGACAGCCCCAAAACATCACTGCTCTAGAGGAGATCTGCATGGAGGAATGGGCCAAAATACCAGCAACAGTGTGTGAAAACCTTGTGAAGACTTACAGAAAACTTTTGCCCTGTGTCATTGCCAACAAAGGGTATATAACAAAGTATTGAGAAACTTTTGTTATTGACCAAATACTTATTTTCCACCATAATTTGGAAATAAATTCATAAAAAATCCTACAATGTGATTTTCTGGAGAAAAAAAATCTCAATTTGTCTGTCATAGTTGACGTGTACCTATGATGAAAATTACAGGCCTCTCTCATCTTTTTAAGTGGGAGAACATGCACAATTGGTGGCTGACTAAATACTTTTTTTCCCCACTGTAAATGTGTTACATATCATCCAGGCTCTGTCGTAGCCGGCCGCGACCGGGAGACCCATGGGGCGGCGCACAATTGGCCCAGCGTCGTCCAGAGTAGGGGAGGGAATGGCCGGCAGGGATGTAGCTCAGTTGGTAGAGCATGGCATTTGCAACGCCAGGGTTGTGGGTTCGATTCCAGTATGAAAAAATTAATAAATAAATGTATGCACTCACTAACTGTAAGTCGCTTTGGATAAGAGCTTCTGCTAAATGACTAAAATGTAAATGTAAATGTAATAACCGTATGTCATGCTTTATAAAGGGTTCATAAATGTGGCATAACTGTGTGACATAACCACCAATGTCAAATGTGACATAACCCACTATGTCAAATATTACATAAACCTGTGCTTTATAAAGGGTGGCATAAGCACCGCTAAATAAATGCCTTATAAATCATATTAAATTGAGGCTTCACAAAGCATTTATAACCCTGTGATGAATCTTGGTAGAGCATTGTAACGCCAGGATAGTGGGTTCGATTGCCGGGACCACCCATACGTAAAAATGTATTCATGCATGACTGTAAGTCGCTTTGGATAAAAGCGTCTGCAAAATTGTATATATTATATTACTGTCAAACATTTCTAGGATGGCCCAACTTCTTTCCCTCTTGGGTGCGTATTCAATATTGGACCTGACCTCAACCTTCCCCAAAATGCTATACTGCAGGATGACACACACTCTAAAGTGCAGCCATGCACAGCAAAACATCTTGGTGAGGCCTATAAAATCAGTTTTAAGCTTACTTCAGTTTTTTTCCCAAAATTCCATTTTCTCAGTTTAGTTTTTGATTTCCCAAATTTTTTAGGTTTTCTCCCAGTTTTTTCACAAGTTTGTAATAGAAAAACAACAATATTAGATTTTCTGTGTTCACAACAATGCTTAAACCACATCAGGGGATGACTTTTGAGGTCTGTGAAAAATCTAATAAACTTAGGTTTTGAGTGTAGTTGCCCTTTAATTCAGTGTGCATGCCCTGCACAGTTGTTTGGTTAGAGGGTTTTCTATAGCGCAGTAATCGCACGTGATAATTATGTATTCCATATACAGTGATTCGCATTGTGGCCGCAAATGGAATGGGTGGAGTAAAAGGCCAGCAACACGCCGTATTATTCAGAGCCCCATGAAATGACACCATATATACATTCTAGAGACCCTATTGAGTACTCCCTACAATACTTTTAATGCGGCAACCAGAATAGTTTTTGCTATGTAAGCCAATATGTTTTCCATGTACAGTGAGTCGCATTGGGGGCATGTATATGACCTTGGAACACATTTTAAAAACCAAATTTAAAACCCAAATAAATGGACACTTTTATACTATAACATTGGAGAACTTTATTTTTTAAATTGTGAAATTCTGTGACCTGGAAGTACTTTTTTAGTGTGGCTGACAAGACGCTGATCATGTGATAAGTTCGCAAATCAAATGCCCAATTGTGGTGCCACCAGACAGCGGAAAACAAGTAAGTTAACCTTGGTTGGAACCAACATGCAGTACCTCCAGCAGGCAGAGAGGCAAGAACAATTAGTCTGCCAGCTCAGGGACAAGCTGCACTATTCACAGTCCTGTGTAATGTTCAATGTAATTGCATGTCTGCAGCATTGAATGTCCCCAAGAAGACAGTGGCCTCCATCATTCTTAAATGGAAGACGTTTGGAACCACCAAGACTCTTCCTAGAGCTGGCCGCCCGGCCAAACTGAGCATCCGGGGGAGAAGGGCCTTGGTCAGGGAGGTGACCAAGAACCCGATGGTCACTCTGACAGAGCTCCAGAGTTCCTCTGTGGAGATGGGAGAACCTTCCAGAAGGACAACCATTTCTGCAGCACTCCACCAATCAGGCCTTTATGATGGAGTGGCCAGACGGAGGCCACTCCTCAGTAAAAGGCACGACAGCCTGCTTGGAGTTTGCCAAAAGGCACCTAAAGGACTCTCAGACCATGAGAAACAAGATTCTCTAGTCTGATGAAACCAAGATTGAACTCTTTGGCCAAGCGTCACGTCTGGAGGAAACATGGCACAATCCCTACGGTGGAGCATGGTTGTGGCAGCATCATGCTGTGGGGATGTTTTTCAGCGGCAGGGACTGGGAGACAAGTCAGGATCAAGGGAGAGATCAAAGGAGCAAAGTACAGAGAGATCCTTGTTGAAAACCTGCTCCAGAGTGTTCAGGACCTCAGACTAGGGCGGTGAAGGTTCACCTTCCAACAGGACAACGACCCTAAGCACACAGGCAAGACAACGCAGGAGTGGCTTTGGGACAAGTCTCTGAATGTCTTCGAGTGGCCCCGATAGAACCAGGACTTGAACCCGCTTGAACATCTCTGGAGAGACCTGAAAATAGCTGTGCATCGACGCTCCCCATCCAACCTGACAGAGCTTGAGAGGATCTGCAGAGAAAAATGAGAGAAACTCCCCAAATACAGGTGTGCCAAGCTTGTAACATCATACCCAAGAAGACTCAAAGCTGTAATCGCTGCCAAAGGTGCTTTAACAAACTACTGTGTAAAGGGTCTGAATACTTATGTAAATGTAATATTTTAGGGTTTTATAGATTTGCACACATTTCTATAAACCTGTTTTTGCTTTGTCATTATGGGGTATTGTGTGTAGACTTATGAGATTTAAAAAATAAAAAATAAATTTTAGAATAAGGCTGTAAATAGGTCTGAATACTTTCCGAATGCACTGTATATGGATAGGGCTACATTTCTTACAGAAGAAATATGAAAACCATATGCAAACGCATGGTAGCAATTGAAAGGGAACAGTTTATAGATTATAGGGAAATTATTAGACTAAAGTTGAGGACACAACAGTTCACAAGACTGAATCCAAACATTACACTGTAGATTTTATGTGTATTTTATATTTACTGTACTTTTCACCGCATTTGTTGATAACGAAATCTGAATACTCTGGATACATTTATTTACATATTCCTTGAAAATGTGGGGCAGGTGCAACATATGACAAAATAATTACAATGGTTTGAGTGAGTAACTTGTGTCTTCCAGTGGCCACACACCTCTCGAAAGTGTGCACAGTTCCTAAGTAATTTCAATGCACTTCTATTACTCAAACAATAGTCTTTTTTTTTGCTCTCCTAGTGCCGTTCAGGAACTAGAGCAAGCACACTTGTAGCTGTTTTGTTTGGAACACAGCCCTGGATCTCCGCCATCACACAATTACTGTTGTTTTACGCAATCCAATACAGCCCATTATATATCGCAATCTTGGTCAGGTGGGCATAATTTAAAAGCTTGTTCTATTGCCAACATGACTAGCTAAGTTATAAAATACAATCTTACAGTGTTAGGCTTTCACAAGGCAATTCAGGGAAACAGATCGTAATTTTGGTGCGCATACAAAGGAGTCATGAGTGCATTCAGGTGTGAGTTCTTCGGCAAATGTTCTTCACAATAGTCAAACATAGGCTCATTCTGTTCAGAACAACCCAGGGTATGACGCCATGTCATCTTGTAACTGTACATCAAACATAGTGATCATAAACGTTGCCACGGTATATGACATGAGTTTTATGGTATGGAAATGTGAAGTGCACATTTGGAGTTTGGCTTGCTTGCTTACAGTATATGACATCTAAGCGGTATTTATTATAATCCTCAATGTCTCATCTTTCAAAATACATTGAGTACTTTTAATTTACAGCATTTCCCTCACTCAGACAACAAACAATTTGCTAAAGTTGCTCAATTAGCGGGAGGGAAACTTCTTGTTGTGTGCGGTGCTCAAGTTCAGAACGGCTGTCAGTCAAAACCCATACAGCGCTGTGAAGCGCAGAGCCTGAGCTCTGACGTCATTTATAGCATGTTACTGACCAGCCACTGTGTTCCAATTTAGGCGCTTATCAGTGCCCAAATCTGTCATTTTCAACCTTTTACGAGTGTAAAGGGCTAGACATCCTGTGTTGTGTGCTTATTCATTTACCATTGACATGTTCTAGGCTATTTTGAGACTTTTAGGAGCATCAGGTACTGCTGGAATGTCCATCTTTCTGTGAGAAATTACACTGGTCACTCAAAACATGAATAAACAATTTACTTATCCATTATGCATGCTTTATTGCAAGGTGTTATTATATAGTGCTACCTAATATACTCATATGAAAATATTAACCTCTTCATTATTTTCTCTCCAACAGAAAAAGTACCGTCAGCAGCCCTGCTCCTTCAAGCACACGTCTGTCGCAGACTCACCAGACATGGTCCATGCCAAACTCAGCAATAAGCTTACCAACGAGGTGAGATGTGCCACTTATTGTTACACTGTAGTTACATATCTTCACATAGCCCTGAACAGACAGTCTAAAGATCATTTTTGTAACGTTTTTGTAATGTTCTTTCTCATCAGCGCCTGTACAAGGAGAAAGGGGTGAATGACAGGCATAACTACACAATGACATTGGAGAGACCAGAGATAACACAGGCTAAGATCAACGCGGCTAACTTCAGCGAGGTAGATCTGTCTTAGCCTTAGGCCGGGATACAATTCATTGTATTAGTCCTGTTTATACCTGGTTATAACGTGTACTTTGTCCTGATCTTGTCCACGTTCTGATTGTGATTATTTGCATAACAAGGAACGCATGTTAATGCCAGGTCTAAATGCAAACAATGTGCATTATGTCTGGTTGTAAGCAGATTTACCTGGTCACCTCCGGAGGTGGACGAGCTCGCATTGTGTTCCGATCTCAGCTCAGTGTAAATACAACCATCCAAAATGTAATTAATAACATCACCGTGCTCAAAGGGTAATTCAACGTCTGCTTTTACATTTTTTTTACCCATCTACCAATAGGTGCCCCTCTTTGGAAAACCTCCCTGGTCTTTGTGGTTGAATCTGTGTTTGAAATTCACTGCTCGACTGAGGGACCTTACAGATAATTGTATGTGTGGGGCACAGAGATGAGGTAGTCATTCAAAAATCATGTTAGACACTATTATTGCACACAGAGTGAGTCCATGCAACTTATTATGTGACTTGTTAAGCATTTATTTTACTAATGAACACAAAGGGGATGAATACTTATTGACTCAAGACATTTTAGCTTTTCATTTTATATTAATTTGTAAACATTTCTAAAAACATAATTCCACTTTGAAATTATAGTGTTTTCTGTGTAGGCCAGTTTCACAAAATAGCAATCAAATCAATTTTTTATTCAAGCTCTAACACAACAAAATGTGGAAAAAGTCAAGGGGTGTGAATATTTTCTGAAAGCACAGTATTTTTTCCACTCTATGAGGTTGGAATAACACTGTGAAATTGTGAAAATGATGATAATGCACTTTTTGTGTCAGAGCTGTTTGAAAAGACCACCTGAAATTTCTGCCTGTTTTGGTGGGATGGAGTTTTGTCCTTCCATGGTGACATTACCATGCCGTAAATTAGTTAATAGACCAATAAGAAAGAGAGTTCCAAACCTCTCTGCCAATAACAGCTAATTTTCAGTTTTCCCATCCCCACTCAGACCTCTCCCAGACAGTCCTAGAAATTGCCCATTGCTAAGAAGCTATTTTTGTTTCTTTTTGACCATGATAATTGAAAACAATCACAGTACGATACCCAGAAATGATTTGATATTGTGATAAAACAGCTGCATTGGACCTTGAAAGTTTAATTCCAGGTTGCACATCATAATATTGAAGGGAATTTCCGATGGTCTGCTCTGCCATACAGTCATGTCAAGTATAAGGATGTCTTATAAGGTGGGAATGGGAAAAAATAATGGAAAAATAGCATCCCAAAACCGTGAGATGTAGCCTATATGTTTAATTTACTACTTGATTTGAATTTACTACTTGATTTTCCCTTCCCAATTTGCATAAATGGGAAGGGAAAAGTGAGATCCGCGCACAATGCGGCCAAGTGCATGCATTTTAATACCAGGTGTAATTGCAAGTAAATGCAAGGTTCGGAATGTAATCCTATCACAGCTGTTCGGATAGGGATAATGCAAGGTATATATTACCCTGTAATCAGGCACGCTTCACCCACTGTGTCTGGATATCTTACAAGTGTATTGTTGACAGATCTGGATAGTGAAACCATTTAAATCATCATTATCCCACCCTCTAAAATCATTGACAGGTGGCACCATTGACTTATGGCATCAATATGAGTCTTAAAATAAATACATTCATATTCTTTTTGGAAGAATACATAATAATTTGCTTTCAGGGAGGGACCAGGAAACTAGTCACAATGTGGACACAGTGGAAAGATAAGAGACACATTTTAATACTACATGTAGATGCATATCTGAAAATCAGACAATCATAATCAGAGCATAGGCAAGATCAGGACACAGGACCCATGTCAGTGCTAGGTATAAACGGGGCTGTAGAGCAGCACGGTAGACAGCTGACAATGTACCTTTTAACTGCATTTTCCCTAACGTTCGCAGAGATCACATTCTCGGTAAATGCTGTGCAAGCGTAAATTGCCTTAAAAAGTAAAGCGTGCCTTGGATTGAATCAGCTGGCCTAAGTCTTAGCTGGAGTGTTAAAAAAGTTTTACAACAATTTTTTTTTTTTTTTTAACCTTTATTTACACAGGGAATTCCCATTGAGACCAAGTCTCTTTTGCAAGGGAACCCTGCTTCACAAAAAAATGCTGCAAGAAATACAAGGTAATTAGTGATACAATTACAACAATAAAGGCGGAATCATGAGAAATACAAAAAGACAAATATAATGATAAAAAACATGTACATTAGCCTGTGAACAGGTAATTTACTAGAACCCTAAAATGCCTGAAAGGCACTAGTGCGTCTAAATCAAAAGGCTGTTTTACCTAAATCGGCAGCTACAAAAGGAATTTAAAGAGTTAGCCATTCCTGTGAGCAAGTAAGGCATTTCATAGTTCTGTAGGTTAGGAGCGATTTAAGGTAAAATGGTTGTTTCTGCATGAGAGCTTTGTAAATGAATAGATGGCAATGTTGCATTCTCTGTGTTGCCAGTGACGACCAGTCCACATTCTGATGCACAGTGATGTGTGCAAAATCGGTTACTCGTAATAAAGCAGAGTGCGCTATGATAAACAGCATCCAGTGGTTTTAAAGAAGTGGAAGCTGGGTTCATATAGATTATGTTGCCATAGTCAAGAGCTGACGGGAAAGTTGACTGAACAAATTTTTTTCCTACTATCAAGGCACAGTCTATTTCTGTAGAAGAAGCCCAGGTTAATTATCAGTTTCTTCGTTAACTCATCTAAATGTGCTTTAAATTACTACTGGTCATCGCTCCAAATGCCAAGGTATTTACATGAGGGGACTTGCTCCATTTAACATGCAAATATGTAAGTCTGTGTAGTCAAAGTTGTGGGCTAGAGGATATCATATGGGCCTACTTTCTTTTATTTGCATTCAGTACCAGTTTAGGGTCAAGAAGTACTTTTTGTATGATATTAAAAGCAATCTGCAGATCAGCTATAGCCTGGTTCACAGAGGAGGCAGAAGAGTACAGCCCAGTGTCATCAGCATAAAAGTGTAGCTTACAGTTATTTACTAAGGAACCAATATAATTGATATACATTTACATTAACATTTACGTCATTTAGCAGACGCTCTTATCCAGAGCGACTTACAAATTGGTGCATTCACCTTATAGCCAGTGGGATAACCACTTTACAATGTGTTTTTTTTTGGTGGGTTGGGGTAAGGAAGGGGTAGAAGGATTACTTTATCCTATCCCAGGTATTCCTTAAAGAGGTGGGGTTTCAAATGTCTCCGGAAGGTGGTGAGTGACTCCGCTGTCCTGGCGTCATGAGGGAGCTTTTTCCACCATTGGGGTGCGAGAGCAGCGAACAGTTTTGACTGGGCTGAGCGGGAACTATGCTTCCGCAGAGGAAGGGGAGCCAGCAGGCCAGAGGTGGATGAACGCAATGCCCTCGTTTGGGTGTAGGGACTGATCAGAGCCTGAAGGTACGGAGGTGCCGTTCCCCTCACAGCTCCATAGGCAAGCACCATGGTCTTGTAACAGATGCGAGCTTCAACTGGAAGCCAGTGGAGTGTGCGGAGGAGGGGGGTGACGTGAGAGAACTTGGGAAGGTTGAACACCAGACGGGCTGCGGCATTCTGGATGAGTTGTAGGGGTTTAATGGCACAGGCAGGGAGCCCAGCCAACAGCGAGTTGCAGTAATCCAGACGGGAGATGACAAGTGCCTGGATTAGGACCTGTGCCGCTTCCTGTGTAAGGCAGGGTCGTACTCTCCGAATGTTGTAGAGCATGAACCTACAGGATCGGGTCACCGCCTTGATGTTAGCGGAGAACGACAGGGTGTTATCCAGGGTCACGCCAAGGCTCTTCGCACTCTGGGAGGAGGACACAACGGAGTTGTCAACCGTGATGGCGAGATCATGGAACAGGCAGTCCTTCCCCGGGAGGAAGAGCAGCTCCGTCTTGCCAAGGTTCAGCTTGAGGTGGTGATCCGTCATCCATACTGATATGTCTGCCAGACATGCAGAGATGCGATTCGCCACCTGGTTATCAGAAGGGGGAAAGGAGAAGATTAGTTGTGTGTCGTCAGCGTAGCAATGATAGGGGAGGCCATGTGAGAATATGACAGAGCCAAGTGACTTGGTGTATAGCGAGAATAGGAGAGGGCCTAGAACTGAGCCCTGGGGGACACCAGTTGTGAGAGCACGTGGTGCGGAGACAGCTTCTCGGCACGCCACTTGGTAGGAGCGACCGGTCAGGTAGGACGCAATCCAAGAGTGAGCCGCGCTGGAGATGCCCAGCTCGGAGAGGGTGGAGAGGAGGATCTGATGGTTCACAGTATCAAAGGCAGCAGACAGGTCTAGAAGGACAAGAGCAGAGGAGAGAGAGTTAGCTTTAGCAGTGCGGAGAGCCTCCGTGACACAGAGAAGAGCAGTCTCAGTTGAATGACCAGTCTTGAAACCTGACTGGTTTGGATCAAGAAGGTCATTCTGAGAGAGATAGCAAGAGAGTTGGCTAAAGACGGCACGCTCAATAGTTTTGGAGAGAAAAGAAAGAAGGGATACTGGTCTGTAGTTGTTGACATCAGAGGGATCGAATGTTGGTTTTTTCACACACTATACTGTGTGAATAGTACTGGCCCTAACATAGACCCTTAAGGAACTCCTTTTGTGACTTTGAGGAATTGCGAGTTGACATAGTCAGCAATTGAGAGCTATCCATTAGGTCGTTTTTTAACCAATCACATGCATTACTATCAAGTCCAACAGTGGACAGTCTTTGTAATAACAATGAATGATCCATAGAGTCAAAAGCTTTTGGCAGGTTTATAAACAAGGTAGTACAATGCTGTTTTTTTATCACGAGAGCATACAATATCATTGATGACAAGGGATGCAGCTGAGATGGTACTATGTCCCTGTGTCAATCCAGATTGATATGTACTGTATTTAGGATACCGTTTTCTGGTAAAGAAGGAGCGACTTTGAGAGTTTATCAATGACTATAGCATTTTAACCAAACACGAAAGCGTTGATATCGGGCGGTTGTGACGAGGAAGAACATGCACTGTTGTCCATTCTTTAGGAATAATCCCAGAAATAAGTATTAATAAAAAAATATGGGCTATGGGTTTCACAATAAGGGGGACTGCCAACACTAGAAGACCAGGATCGAACTGGTCTGCCCGTGGACTTAACATCTATAGTAAGCAAAGAATCAAGCACTTCCTTGTCCGTCAACTAATTAAAGTAGAACAAGGGATCCCTAGTGTCTGTTGAGCTGCATAGAAACACAGGTTAGAGCTAAATTCTCAAAGAATGAGAGTAAAAAGCATCACATATTCCTATTTTGTCAGTGATGGGGCCAGAAACTGAAATGATTTGGGCAGCGAGATTGAATTGTTTTCCAAAATGTAGATACCACCACTTTCAGAAAGAGAGCCTAGATAGTAAGTTGATTTTGACCAACAGCTCAGGCGTTCCTCATGATGGGATCTCCAATTAACTTTCCAATGAACAATTGTAACATAAGATATTAGATGATAAATAATATGAATAACTGATCCTGTCTACGTCAACGCTTATGAAGGCTCTGGCAAACAAGGGCCTGGACTTGTTGGTTCTGATTGTTTGTTTTCCTCTTCAGACCAAGTACAGAGAGTCATGGCACACTCTAAGGGCTCAGGGCTACAAACTGACCATGCAGGACATCCCCTTCCAGGCTGCCAAAACCTCAATGGACTTAGCCAGCAATGTGAGTAGTACTCCGTTTATGAATGCACTCTTTGAAAGTACAGTAGTTGTAATAGCCATTTTTATATAAAATAAAATGTACTAGAATTGTGTAAGAAATATAAATGTATAGAATATTATCTGGATAAATATGTTTATGGAACCCATTTAATTTTGGTTATTGTACCACCTGCTGGCCATTTATGTTACTACCACGTAGAACCAGCTTATAAGGGGTTAACTGGCAATATGACGCCATTTCCGGGTCTTTTATTTCATATCTCCTTATCCTTTGGCTGTTTTTGTTGGATCATTTTGTACCTTTTTGAGTTTGCGTTTTATCATCATTATCATCTTGGAATTTGTTCAGATAACCTGGAAACAGTCAATGCCTTCATTACCCAAAACTTGAAACTGAGTGACACCAGTCTCAACGTCAACAGTGAAGAGGCGACTCCGGGATGCTGATCTTCTAGGCAGAGTTGCAAAGAAAAAGCCATATCTCAGACTGGCCAATAAAAAGAAAAGATTAAGATGGGCAAAAGAACACAGACACTGGACTTTTTCTTTGCAACTCTGCCTAGAAGGTCAGCATCCCGGAGTCGCCTCTTCACTGTTGACATTGAGACTGGTGTTTTGCGGGTACTATTTAATGAAGCTGCCAGTTGAGGACCTGTGAGGCTTCTGTTTCTCAAACTAGACACTCTAATGTATTTGTCCTCTTGCTCAGTTGTGCACCGGGGCCTCCCACTCCTCTTTCTATTCTGGTTAGAGCCAGTTTGCGCTGTTCTGTGAAGGGAGTAGTACACAGCGTTGTATGAGATCTTCAGTTTCTTGGCAATTTCTCGCATGGAATAACCTTAATTTCTCAACAAGAATAGACTGACGAGTTTCAGAAGAAAGTTTTGAGCCTGTAATCGAACCCACAATTGCTGATGCTCCAGATACTCAACTAGTCTCAAGAAGGCCAGTTTTATTGCCTCTTTAATCAGCACAACAGTTTTCAGCTGTGCTAACATAATTGACAAAGGGTTTTCTAGTGATCAATTAGCCTTTTAAAATTATAAACTTGGATTAGCAAACACAACGTGCCATTGGAACACAGGACTGATGGTTGCTGATATGGTTGCTGATAATGGGCCTCTGTACGCCTATGTAGATATTCCATAAAAAATCAGCCGTTTCCAGCTACAATAGCCATTTACAACATTAACAACGTCTACACTGTATTTCTGATCAATTTGATGTTATTTTAATGGACAAAAAAATTGATTTTCTTTCGAAAACAAGGACATTTCTAAGTGACCCCAAACTTTTGAACGGTAGTGTATATACAGCTGTGGAAAAAATTAAGAGACCACTGCACATTTTTCTTAAATCACCATCTCTACATGTATGACAGCCATTCCATTCCAGTGACTGTTGAATTCCAACACAGGCACACCTCATTCTACTGAATTAGGTACTGATTAGGTGATCACATGAACCAAATCTTATTTAACGAGGAAAAGTATAAAAACCACTGATGTGGTCATCACTATTATCTTGCAATAGGACCAGCTGGATGGCAAAAACAGTGCTAATAGTACCTCAAAAGTAATATTAATCAAAAAATAACTATTGACCATGCAAAAAGAGTTGAAAAGGAAAGTTTTGAGTGGGGAAAAGAAGGGTTCAATTCTGGCTTTACTGGCAGAGGGATACAGTGAGCGTCAGGTTGCGGTTCATAAGAATAAGGTCATGCAGCAGACATTGGAGACAACAAAGCTACAGACCAGCAGAGGGTGAAAACGACTCACTACTGACCGGGATGACCGCCAACTCATTCGAATGTCACTCAACAACCGTAGGATGACTTCAAGTGACCTACAAAAATAATGGCAAAACGTCAGCTGGGGTGAAGTGCACGGTGAGGACGGTTCGAAACAGGCTCCTAGGGGCAGGGCTGAAGTCATGCAAAGCTAGAAAAAAGCCCTTCATCAATGAGAAGCAAAGAAGAGCCAGGCTGAGGTTTGCAAAAGACCATAAGGATTGGACCGTAGAGGACTGGAGTAAGGTCATCTTCTCTGATGAGTCCAATTTTCAGCTTTGCCCAACACCTGGTCGTCTAATGGTTAGACGGAGACCTGGAGAGGCCTACAAGCCACAGTGTCTCGCACCCACTGTGAAATTTGGTGGAGGATCGGTGATGATCTGGGGGTGCTTCAGCAAGGCTGGAATCGTGCAGATTTGTCTTTGTGAAGGACGCATGAATCAAGCCACGTACAAGGTTGTCCTGGAAGAAAACTTGCTTCTTTTTGCTCTGACATTGTTCCCCAACTCTGAGGATTGTTTTTTCCAGCAGGACAATGCGCCATGCCACACAGCCAGGTCAATCAAGGTGTGGATGTAGGACCACCAGATCAAGACCCTGTCATGGCCAGCCCAATCTCCAGAATTGAACCCCATTGAAAACTTCTGGAATGTGATCAAGAGGAAGATGGATGGTCACAAGCCATCAAACAAAGCCGAGCTGCTTGAATATTTGCGCCAGGAGTGGCATAAAGTCACCCAACATCAATGTGAAAGACTGGTGGAGAGCATGCCAAGACGCATGAAAGCTGTGATTGAAAATCAGCGTTATTCCACCAAATATTGATTTCTGAACTCTTCCTAAGTTAAAATATTAGTATTGTGTTGTTTAAAAATGAACATGAACTTATTTTCTTTGCATTATTCGAGGTCTGACAACACTGCATCTTTTTTGTTATTTTGACCAGTTGTCATTTTCTGCAAATAAATGCTCTAAATGACAATATTTTTATTTGGAATTTGGGGGAAATGTTGTCAGTAGTTTATAGAATGAAACAAAAATGTTATTTTTACCCAAACACATACCTATAAATAGTAAAACCAGAGAAACTGATAATTTTGCAGTGGTCTCTTAATTCTTTCCGCAGCTTTATATACAAATACATACATACACACATATACAGTGGGGAAAAAAAGTATTTAGTCAGCCACCAATTGTGCAAGTTCTCCCACTTAAAAAGATGAGAGAGGCCTGTAATTTTTATCATAGGTACACGTCAACTATGACAGACAAATTGAGAATTTTTTTTCCAGAACATCACATTGTAATGAATTTTTAATGAATTTATTTGCAAATTATGGTGGAAAATAAGTATTTGGTCACCTACAAACAAGCAAGATTTCTGGCTCTCACAGACCTGTAACTTTTTCTTTAAGAGGCTCCTCTGTCCTCCACTCGTTACCTGTATTAATGGCACCTGTTTGAACTTGTTATCAGTATAAAAGACACCTGTCCACAACCTCAAACAGTCACACTCCAAACTCCACTATGGCCAGCTCAGCTGGTAGAGCACGGCGCTTGTAACGCCAAGGTAGTGGGTTCGATCCCCGGGACCACCCATACACACAAAAAAAATGTATGCACGCATGACTGTAAGTCGCTTTGGATAAAAGCGTCTGCTAAATGGCATATTATTATTATTATTATAAAGGACACCAGAAACAAAATTGTAGACCTGCACCAGGCTGTGAAGACTGAATCTGCAATAGGTAAGCAGCTTGGTTTGAAGAAATCAACTGTGGGAGCAATTATTAGGAAATGGAAGACATACAAGACCACTGATAATCTCCCTCGATCTGGGGCTCCACGCAAGATCTCACCCCGTGGGGTCAAAATGATCACAAGAACGGTGAGCAAAAATCCCAGAACCACACGGGGGGACCTAGTGAATGACCTGCAGAGAGCTGGGACCAAAGTAACAAAGCCTACCATCAGTAACACACTACGCCGCCAGGGACTCAAATCCTGCAGTGCCAGACGTGTCCCCCTGCTTAAGCCAGTACATGTCCAGGCCCGTCTGACGTTTGCATTTGGATGATCCAGAAGAGGATTGGGAGAATGTCATATGGTCAGATGAAACCAAAATAGAACTTTTTGGTAAAAACTCAACTCGTTGTGCTTTGAGGACAAAGAATGCTGAGTTGCATCCAAAGAACACCATACCTACTGTGAAGCATGGGGGTGGAAACATCATGCTTTGGGGCTGTTTTTCTGCAAAGGGACCAGGACGACAGATCCGTGTAAAGGAAAGAATGAATGGGGCCATGTATCGTGAGATTTTGAGTGAAAACCTCCTTCCATCAGCAAGGGGATTGAAGATGAAACGTGGCTGGGTCTTTCAGCATGACAATGATCCCAAACACACCGCCCGGGCAACGAAGGAGTGGCTTCGTAAGAAGCATTTCAAGGTCCTGGAGTGGCCTAGCCAGTCTCCAGATCTCAACCCCATAGAAAATCTTTAGAGGGAGTTGAAAGTACATGTTGCCCAGCGACAGCCCCAAAACATCACTGCTCTAGAGGAGATCTGCATGGAGGAATGGGCCAAAATACCAGCAACAGTGTGTGAAAACCTTGTGAAGACTTACAGAAAACGTTGCCAACAAAGGGTATATAACAAAGTATTGAGGAACTTTAGTTATTGACCAAATACTTATTTTCCACCATAATTTGCAAATAAATTCATAAAAAATCCTACAATGTGATTTTCTGGATTTTTTTCTCATTTTGTCTGTCATAGTTGACGTTGTACCTATGATGAAATTACAGGTCTCTCTCATCTTTTTAAGTGGGAGAACTTGCACAATTCGTGGCTGACTAAATACTTTTTTTCCCCACTGTATATACATACACATACATATATACACAGACACACACACACACATACACATGTACACACATACATACACATATTGTCAAAGTGCGACGTGAATGCGGTAGGCGAAGTCAAACGCAGGACACCGAGCTACTGGAAACGTACTTTACTAAAAACGGAACCAGAGTACAAAACAACCTCCAAACAGGGAGGAGAATACCCGCACAATAGCAACTGCCGAAAATGACAAAAACAATCACACACAACACACAATGAATGACAGAGGGTTATATAGGGAATACAATACAACATAATAGGAAACAGGTGTACACAATCAAGAAAAAACAAGTCAAACACAGAAACATAGATCGGTAGCAGCTAGTACTCCGGGGACGACGAACGCCGAAGCCTGCACGAGCAAGAAGGAGGAGCAGCCTCGGCTGATTCTGTGACACAAATATACACATATACATATATATACACATACATACATATACACATACATATAAACGCATATACATACATATTTCCCTTTATTACTTTTAAACCCCACCACCCCTTCCCTAATTGGAGTAAACTAGTGAACAACAACGCTTAGGCCCCTACTTCCAGCTTATACATACTATATACATTTTATGGACACAGTCAATTTCACAATAATTATATTTTGCTTGTTTTTACTCCTGAACTTCCTCTACCCTCCACCTCTCCGATCATTTTCATGATGTCCATCCGGTTTGCTTCTATATGCCATATCTCTCCAACTGTGCTCCTTCACAAAAGCTCTCAACCTATAACCTATATACTTATTATGGACACAGCCTGCCCTACATTAGTTATCTTGCTGTTATTAGTTGTTGTTAGTTGTTATTAGTCCCATCCTTCAGCTCCATTCAACACCTCCCATCTATCTCTTAACACCATCCATATTGGATTTCTATTTGCCATATATTTTTCAACTGTACTGTGATGTTTCACAAAAGTTCTGAACCCTTCTATTCTCATTGTTTCTTTAGATTGTAAATAAACATTTTTGTTAAAAGTATTATTATATTATTGATCGATTGAATATAACTTTTCAGATCACCCAGATAACTGAACTTTGTGAGTAATAAATATGTTAATAATTGCAATCAAGAAATCTCATTAATTGGAAATGAGTTGTAACCCTTACCTGTATTTTGGTGTCTAATAGAAATGGCGAATTAGAAAATTAGAACAGAACCCATAACAACGGTAGAATTAGGTTCCAAATCTGCTCTTGAAAACTAAATGTTAGTCTAAAAGAAATGTGAGATAATGTCTAGATGCTTTTTATTGTGGAGATCAAGTTTATAAATTGCCTGGCTGGGCTGATGAGTCAGTGGATTGCGCACTCAGATGGAACAGAGTAAATGTGCATTTTAAAGTCATAGATTTAGCCGGTGGTAACTTGTGGAATAGACACCGGCTGGAATGTGGTTTTAACCAATCAGCATTCAGGATTAAACCCACCCGTTGTATAATAGACACTAAAATACAGGTAGGGTTCCAACTCATTTCCAATTAATGCATATCTTCCAATAAAACAACTTGAGATTTCTTGATTTTAATTATTCACATGTATTACTCACAAGGTCCAGTTGTTCCAAGGTTTGGGTAATGAACGCATGGATTGTTTCCAGGTTATTTGAACAGATTCCAGGATGATAATGGCAAAAAGGAAACTCAAAAACAGCCAAATTATCCAACAAAAACAGTAAATGAAAGGATAAGGTAAGATATGAAATAAAAGGAACCTTAGCTAGGAACTTTAGCCACTACAGTAGTACCTATTTGCATGTAAGACACACTGAGTATACAAAACATTAAGAACACCTGCTCTTCCCATGACATAGACTGACCAGGTGAATCCAGGTGAAAGCTATGAACCCTTATTGATGTCACTTGTTAAATCCACTTTGGTCAGTGTAGATGAAGGGGAGGAGACAGGTTAAAGAAGGATTTTTCCAGTTTCCCGTACGTATCAAGAATGGTCCACCACCCAAACGACATCCAGCCAACTTGACACAACTGTGGGAAGCATTGGAGTCAACATGGGCCAGCATCCCTGTGGAACACTTTTGACACCTTGTTGAGTCCATGCCCAGACGAATTGAGGCTTTCTGAGTGCAAAAGTTATCAGATTAAGAAATCACAGGTTCACTGTGCGCTCCCCATGAAGGCTGCAGTTCCAGTCCCCCAGCACGAAGGTCAAAAACCTTCCTTATTGATCACAACAACACAATGGGGGGGGGGGGGAATAGAAGAAAAAAAAGAGTTTTAACAAAATCAAATAATGAAATGTATATAATAAAGTCACCAATGCATGACAGTAAATTTGATCAAGTCAATTATAAGATACACATATTGCCTGTTCACTCCTCTCTTTCCCTTCTACCAACCTAGGTCCAATACAAGCACAACCACCTGCTGGATAAGGGCAAGCACATCGGCGCACGCAGCATCCTGGATGACCCGCGCATGCTACACTGCATGCAGATGGGCCGGCTGACGAGTGAGCAGGGGTACCGCAAAGACGCACTTTCCAACAGCGGCCAGTACCACCTCAATCCAGATATGATCAATTTAGTTACAGCCAAGAATGCTCAGGCTCTGGCCAGCGATCAGGACTACAAGAAGAGGCTCCATGCGTATACTGTCCTACCTGACGATATGAAAGTCCAATGGGCCAAGAAGGCCTACAACCTGCAGAGCGAGGTGAGACAGCAAGGAGAAGAGAGGAGGTGGGAGGGTGGAAGAGGAGAGTGGAGAGTGAAGGGGAGAGGGAGAACATGATTAAGGGAAATATACTATTAAGTATTAGGAAATTGGAGCAGGGGCTTTCCCCTCAAATTAATTTAACAAATCATGTCCCAGTGTGCAACATTGTTTAGAATAGAATCGAATAGAATCATTTTTACCATTGTACATTTTCAAAATAATTGAAGAGATCTCAACCATAGTCTTCCTCAGGAAATGCAAAGAAAAATATTCAAATAAAAGTTTCAGTAAATATGAGGGTATAAATAGCAACCCCCTCTCCGCGTCTGTCTTCTAGAAACTGTACAAGTCGGATCTGAACTTCATGAAGGGCGTGGCCTGGGATGGTGTTGGGGCGCCTCAAATGGTTTCTGCGAAGAAAGCCGGAGAGCTCACCAGTGATGTAAGTACACAACTAGCGGCCATGTTACCTGAGAAATTAGATTAGAATAACATAATGTAACAGCTTTAGAGTGTGTGTGTGTGTGTGTGTGTGTGTGAGACTTATCCTTATGTGAAGTGGTCTTGGTCTTGCAGAAGAAATATCGTCAGCTGCCAGACAGTCTGAAGTTCACCCAAGTGGCGGACTCTCCAGACATTGTTCATGCTAAGAACAGCTACCTCCAGTGCAGCGAGGTCAGAACTCTTATTCATTTTGTTAAATCGTCAGTGTCTTCAGTTGAGAAGGGCTACTAAATCTAATAGAACCTGCTCTTTGAGCAGAGCGGGCTTCAAATACTATTTGAAAATATTTAATATACAGCTGGGCTTGATTGAGCTTGCCTAGTCACAAAAGACAAACCCCGCCCATTTGGCACTCCAGGCAGACTAAAGCAAACGCTAAAAGTATTTGAAATATTTCAAATAGTATTTGAACCCATGCCTGTCTGTGACCCCCTTCAAAAGCAAGTTCTGTGTAATTGTTATCAATTATATTCTCACCATGTTACAGAGGCTGTATAAGTCTGGAGACTCGGACGCCATGCACAAATATACCTTACATGCCGATGACCCTGACTTCATCAGAGCAAGGATCAACGCGCAGCAAATTAGCAATGTAAGAGACAAACTATGCTTTTATTTTCTCTAAAGCCCTGTAGACACTCAGTTTGTACAACTGATGTACAACAAAGACAACTGTTTTGATACAACGGAGAGTTTGTCTACACAAAAGTGTATAGACAACAGTTGCCGAAACACCACACAATCGTTGTGCAAAAACGCTCCATTGTATCACAAAGATATCAGTTGCATCACAACCTTGTGTCAAATGTGTTGTACATCAGTTGTCAACCTGAGTGTATACAGTGCCTGACAATGTCAAACAAAGAATTAGATCCATTATATCCAAGACAAATCCAAACACTGTCAAGACTCAACATATGCAAGCATATCGAGATTGACCACACAGTGGTGCATGTTTATATCTCATAAATGCATATAAATCAGTCACGGATTTTTGTATTGTAACAAAACTTGAAGAAAACATATTCAAGCACATTCAAATTCAGATGCAAATTCCAGTGAGATGAAAAGGCCTAGAAGGGTACAACCTGGCATAATGGTAAAGGGCCAACGGCCACACCCTCTCATAAAATGCCATGCCAATTGGCCACATTGTGGCGCTATAACAAGCGATTGAAAATGCAAAATTTGAAAGGTCACGCCCCAAACAAAAAAACTGGTACATAGGTTCCTCTCCTCACACTGTGGCACTGTAATGGGCATATGTTTATATCTCTTGATCTGTTAGACTCAGTGTGATGAAATTTGGCACACATGCTCAGGGATATGAGTCTAGCTAACCTGTATGGTTCATTTTGGCTGCATAGGGGCACTGTTGGACAGGAAAAAACATTCATGCAAGCTCATTGGCTCATAGCAGCCATATTGTTTCAGTTAGAGTACTGGAAAATGTTGTGTTGAAAGACATGGCTAGATATTTTATATATACCACATTTTTTGCCAATCAGTCTAGCGGTCCTGGAGAAGAAGAAATGTAAATAGTCAACATCATTGAAAATTGTCCAAAATACCTCAAAAGCTAAATATTGCATGACCTGTTCGATGTGGAGTTCTGATATTTGGCAAGCATGGTAAATAGTACAGAAGTAGCTCATCCTAGGGCAATGTGTCCAATTTGTCCTGATGGTGGCACAGTGAGCACACAGCTGAACCCTAGCAACGCTACCTGCGGCTATAATTATAATTATTATTCCTCTTCTTCCATAAGGCAAAATTAAAAACGCACATTCCAGTGAGATGTTGAGGCCTAGGAGGGTGCAACCTTGCATGCTGGTAAAGTGCCATGGGCCACACCTTCACACATAATGCCATGCCAATTGGCCACATGGTGGCGCTATAACAATCGATTTAACAGGCAAGCAAATATTGCAAGGTCACGCCCCTCACCCCATGTAAGCTAGAGACCAAAAAATTGGTACATAGGTTCCTCTCTTCACAAGGTACATATTTTCCTCAAAAACCCATAGGGTCCGCAATGATAAATCTCTGCCATTTTGAATTTTGTGAAAAACACTCAAAACCCTACTCCTCTGGCACCTAATGACTGATCTGCACTAAACTTCATATATAGCATCTATGGACCAATATCTCTCTATGCAACATTTTCCAGACTAGTATCTGAAACAATATGGCCGCTATTGACCAATAAACATTAATGTGGGCGTGGTCTGGCATATTAATGCATATAAACCAGACAGGGATATTCATATTTTAACCTAACATGATACACATGTTCAAAACACTGTCAAGACTGTGGCGCATCTCTTGATCTGTTCGCCTCCGAGTCATGACATTTGGCACACATGCCCCTCTACAGCTCAGTTGGTAGGGCATGGCGTTTGCAACGTCAGGGTTGTGGGTTCGTTTCCCACGGGGGGCCAATATGAAAATGTATGCACTCACTAACTGTAAGTCGCTCTGGATAAGAGAGTCTGCTAAATGACAAAACATTTAAATATATGGGGTATGAGTCTAGCTAATCTGTCAAGTATGGTTAGTTTAGCCGCATGGGGGCATTGTTGGAACGGAAAAATCATTCATACAAGCTCATTAGATTATTGTGGCCATTATGTTTGAGCAAGTCTTGGAAAATATTGCGTTTGAAGATGTGCATTCGTAGATGCTATATACCAAATTTGGTACTGATCGGTCTAGCGGTTCTGGAGAAGAAGACGTTTAAAGTAGTCTATAGCATAAAAAAATTGTCCAAAATATGCATATTGCATGATCTGTTTAATTTTGAAATGTGATATTTGGCAAGCGTGGTAAGGAGTACAGAAGTAGCTCCTCCTAGGGTGATGTGTCCAATTTATTCTGATGGTGGCACAGTGGGCCTGCAACTTGAACCCTGGCGTTGCTGCTTGCAGCTATATTTATTATACATCTTCTTCCGTAAGGCCAAATTAAAATGAAAATTCCTCTGAGATGATAAGGCATAGGAAAATGCAACCTTGGATGATGGAAAAGGGCCAAAGGCGACACCCTCTCATCCAATGCCATGCCAATTGGCCACATGGTGGCGCTATAACAATAGATTTAACATGCAAACTTTAAAAGGTCACACCCCTCACCCGTGTAACCTAGAGTCATACAATTCCGTGCTTAGTTCACTCTCCTGACAAGGAACAAATTTACCTCAAGGACCCATAAGGTCCGCCATGATGGATTTTCCGCCATTTTTAATTTTGCGGAAAACACCTAAATTACATCTCTTCTGGAACCACTGGGCCGATCTGGATAAAACGTTGATATATAGCATCTATGGAGCAAGGTTTCTCAACGCAATACTTTCCAGAATAGCATCTCAAACAACATGGACACTGTTGACCAATAAACGTGTATTTGTATTTATTAAGGATCCCCATTAGCTGCTGCCACTACTCTACTACTACATATCTACAACACAAAATCCATGTGTATGTGTGTGTAGAGTGCGCGGCCTCCGCAATGGATTGGTCTCAGCCTCCGGAATGGATTAGTTCACTGAGATGGGTGTGAATCAGTCAGGTGTCTCGTGTGCCATAAATAAATATATATACTACTGCTCGAAAAAAAAGAAGCTTGGTCGACCAAACAATCGACCAGTCGACTAGTTTGGCGGGTCATTTTTGTTTTTGTATTTTACCCCCTTTTTCTCTCCAATTTCGATCTTGTCTCATCGCTGCAACTCCCCAACGGGCTCGGAAGGTAAAGGTCGAGTCATGCGTCCTCCGAAACATGACCCGCCAAACCTGTGCTTCTTAACACCCGCCCGCTTAACCCGGAAGCCAGCTGCACCAATGTGTGAGGAAACACAGTTCACCTGACGACCGAGGTCAGCCTGCAGGCGCCTGGCCCGCCACAAGGAGTCGCTAGAGCGCGATGAGCCAAGTAAAGCCCCCTCCGGCCAAACCGTCCCCTAATCCGGACGACGCTGGGCCAATTGTGCGCTGCCCTACGGGACTCCCGATCACGGCCGGTTGTGATACAGCCCGGGTCTGTAGTGATGCCTCTAGCACTGCGATGCAGTGCCTTATACCGCTGCGCCACTCGGGAGGCCCAACATTAATTTGTTTACTGTAAAATAGCATTGTATCTGGTCAAACCATTTTTTCCAAAAGTTTACTAAGGGTTGGTAACAGGCTGATTGGTTGGCTACAGTGGCTTGAGAAAGTATTCACCCCCCTTGGCATTTTTCCTATTTTGTTGCCTTACAACCTGGAATTTAAATGGATTTTTTTGGGGGGGTTGTATCATTTGATTTACACAACATGCCTACCACTTTGAAGATGCAAAATATTTTTTTATTGTGAAACAAACAAGAAATAAGACAAAAAAACTGAAAACTTGTGCGTGCATAACTATTCACCCCCCCACTACCAAAGTCAATACTTTGTAGAACCACCTTTTGCAGCAATTACAGCTGCAAGTCTCTTGGGGTATGTCTCTATAAGCTTGGCACATCTAGCCACTGGGATTTTTGCCCATTCTTCAAGGCAAATCTGCTCCAGTTCCTTCAAGTTGGATGGGTTCCGCTGGTGTACAGCAATCTTTAAGTCATACCAAAGATTCTCAATTGGTTTGAGGTCTGGGCTTTGACTAGGCCATTCCAAGACATTTAAATGATTCCCCTTAAACCACTCAAGTGTTGCTTTAGCAGTATGCTTAGGGTCATTGTCCTGCTGGAAGGTAAACCTCCGTCCCAGTCTCAAATATCTGGAAGACTGAAACAGGTTTCCCTCAAGAATGTCCCTGTATTTAGCGCCATCCATCATTCCTTCAATTCTGACCTTTCCAGTCCCTGCTGATGAAAAACCTCCCCACAGTGAAGCATGGTGGGATGGTCTTCTCGGGGTGATGAGAGGTGTTGGGTTTGCGCCAGACATAGCGTTTTCCTTGATGGCCAAAAAGCTCAATTTTTGTCTAATCTGACCAGAGTACCTTCTTCCATATGTTTGGGGAGTCTCCCACATACCTTTAGGTGAACACCAAATGTGTTTGCTTATTTTTTTCTTTAAGCATTGGCTTTTTTCTGGCCACTCTTCCATAAAACCCAGCTCTGTGTAGTGTATGGCTTAAAGTGGTCCTATGAACAGAAACTCCAATCTCCACTGTGGAGCTTTGCAGCTCCTTCAGGGTTATCTTTGGTCTCTTTGTTGCCTCTCTGATTAATGCCCTCCTTGCCTGGTCCGTGAGTTTTGGTGGGCAGCCCTCTCTTGGTAAGTTTGTTGTGGTGCCATATTCTTTCAATTTTTTAATAATGGATTTAATGGTGCTCCGTGGGATGTTCAAAGTTTCTGATATTTTTTTATAACCCAATCCTGATCTGTACTTCTCCACAACTTTGTCCCTGACCTGTTTGGAGAGCTCCTTGGTCTTCATGGTGCCGTTTGCTTGGTGATGTCCCTTGCTTAGTGGTGATGCAGACTTTGGGGCCTTTCAGAACAGGTGTATATATACTGAGATCATATGACACTTAGATTGCACACAGGTGGACTTTATTTAACTAATTATGTGATTTCTGAAGGTAATTGGTTAAACCAGATCTTATTTAGGGGCTTCATAGCAAAGGGGGGGAATACATATGCACGCACCAATTTTCCGTTATTTATTTTGTAGAATTTTTTTGAAACAAGTTATTTTTTTCATTTCACTTCACCAATGTTGACTATTTTGTGTAGTATGCCCATTACATGAAATCCATTCTTGGGTAGCGGAATGACTTTTGCGTCCCTCTAGACGTGAGGGCACACACTTTCTTGTAGGCTTAGATTGAAGATATGGCAAATAGGAGTGGCAATATTGTCCGCTATTATCCTCAGTAATTTTCCATCCAAGATATCATACCCTGGTGGCTTGTCATTGTTGATAGACAACAATATTTATTTCACCTCTTCCACACTCACTTTACGGAATTCAAAATTACAATGCTTGTCTTTCGTCATTTGGTCAGTTATACTTGTATGTGTAGGGTTGGCATTTGTTGCTATCATTTCATGCCTAAGTTTGCTAATCTTCTTAATTTATAATGTAGTTGGCAATATTAATGGGTTTCGTGATCACAGATCTCCTCATCTGCATAATGACAAAGCAAAAACTGGTTTTTATAATTTTTTGGCACATTTATATTTAAAAAGAAATTGAAATATCACATTTACATAAGTATTCAGACCCTTTACTCAGTACTTTGTTTACGCACCTTTGGCAGTGATTACAGCCTTGAGTCTTCTTGGGTATGACGCTACAAGCTTAGCAAACCTGTATTTGGGGAGTTTCTCCCATTCTTCTCTGCAGATTCTCTCAAACTTGAACCCGATCGAACATCTTAGGAGAGACATGAAAATAGCTGTGCAGTAACGCTTCGTTGGGCCAATCAAGGACATTAACAGACTTTTCCCGAAGCCACTCCTGCGTTGTCTTGGCTGTGTGCTTAGGGTCCTTGTCCTGTTGTAAGGTGACCTTCGCCCCAGTCTGAGGTCCTGAGCGCTCTGGTGCAGGTTTTCATCAAGGATCTCTATGTACTTTGCTCCGTTCATCTTTCCCTCAAGCCTGACTAGTCTCCAATCTCCACAGAGGAACTCTAGAGCTCTGTCAGAGTGACAATCGGGTTCTTGGTCACCTCCCTGACCAAGGCCCTTCTCCCCAGATTGCTCAGTTTGACTGGGCGGCCAGCTCTATGAAGAGTCTTGGTGGTTCCAAACTTCTTCCATTTAAGAATGATGTGTTCTTGAGGACCTTCAATGCTGCAGAAATGTTTTGGTACCCTTCCCCAGATCTGTGCCTTGACACAATCCTGTCTCGGAGCTCTACGGACAATTCCTTCATCCTTATGGCTTGTTTTTTGCTCTGACATGCACTGTCAACTGTGGGACCTTATATAGACAGGTGTGTGCCTTTCCAAATCATGTCCAATCAATTGAATTTACCACAGGTGGACTCCAATCAAGTTGTAGAAACATCTCAACTGTAGCTCAGTTGGTAGAGCATGGCGCTTACAACGCCAGGGTTGTGGGTTCGTTTCCCACGGGGGGCCAGTATGAAAATGTATGCACTCACTAATTGTAAGTCGCTCTGGATAAGAGCGTCTGCTAAATGACTAAAATGTTTAAAAAATGATCAATGGAAACAGTATGCGCCTGAGCTCAATTTCGAGTCTCATAGCAAAGGGTCTGAATACTTATTTAAATAATTTTTTTTGTTTTTTTGCAACAATTTCTAAAAACCTGTTTTTGCTTTTTCATTATGGGGTATTGTGTGTAGATTGATGAGGGGGGAAATATAATTCAATCCATTTTAGAATAAGGCTGTAACGTAACAGAATGTGGAAAAGGGGAAGAGGTCTGAATACTTTCTGAATGTACTGCCCGATAATTACTCCTCTGTTTTATAGGGGTGCATGATTGGAAATGTATCATTTTGTACCAAGCAAGTACTGTTATCGACCTTGTTATATACGGTGTAATTACTTGACATAAGTACAATTAAGTACCAGACCAAAACACCAGAGTAAAGCCTAAATACACATTTCCATGCCACAAGAATGGACGATATAGTTTTGTTTTTTAAAATTAATAAACCATGTCCTAAAACAGTGGGTGTAACCCAACCAGATCTTCATGCATACTGTGTATGAAACAGTACATAGTGAAACACATTAACCATCCTGGTTTCGTAACCATGCCTGTCTGTCTCGCTGTCCCGGCCTCTGCAGAAAGCCTATAAAGCGTCTGGGGACGAGATGAGGTCGGCAGGCTACGACCTGAAGCTGGATGCTATTCCCTTCCAGACGGCCAAGGCTTCCAGGAATATCGCCAGTGACGTGAGTTTAGTTTTACACAAGAGAAAAAGAAACAAAAAATACTAACACATTACTGTTTTATTTGTCTTTCTTGCACTCACACTTGTCTTTTACTTACTATGACTGATTTTACTGATAGCTGCTTTATTGAGGAAAGTTTCTGTCTTACCTAGGTCGTTACACCAATTTGGTGCCTTTTGAGAAGTGTAACTTGGTTAAAAAAAAGTTTGATTTCACCTAATTGTAACATTCTGTCGTAAAGAGCACATTCAACTTCATAAAAAAACTATTTCCCCTCTCTTAAATCAGCCATATATCCCCTTGTGACAGTGGGAATGGAAGCTTGTTGTGTGCAACAGGGAGGGGCAATTTACCCTTTGCTAAGTCCCGCCCCTCTTGGTTACTGTTGCAACCTTGGACAACATTTTCTTGGGAAGTCCAATTCCCCCTTCTAACCACTGGCGAAATCCCCTCACAATGATCTCAAATGTGTTTTCAAAACACAATTAAATTAAACACAGACAACCCCTTGCTAATCAGGAAACTCTCGGTTATGTTGTGGTGGACTGTCATTACAATTGCTTATGTTTGTAGTGTGGCTAGGCACTGAGCTAGCTCGTGCTCTCAAATCGTATCATGATGTCGACACCAGACCAGATGGGAGTTGTATTAATAACATGGCTAACTTAGCCATCTAACATACATTTAGAGAAAACAGGTTATATTAAATGGCTAGCTAGCATCAGCAACATTTGGTGGTCAATGAGACTGAGAGCTAGCGAACAAGCTGAGCTAGCAAACAATGTAACAAAAGTATATTTTCAGATTCTAAAAATACTCCATCAACAGGCTCTGCATTTCAGGAATCACAGTAACATGTACCCTGGAGCACTTTTCAATTATCAATTATTCGGTCTTATGTAGCAACATTTGAAATTGTGTTTTTTACATTGGATAAAAGTAGAGACTCAGAGCTAGAAAATGGTATATCATACACTGCAGTTAAGGAACAATGGGAAAGTAATTCTGCTTTGAAAGTTGATAAACTTGTAACACCACTTTTGAGAAAATGGCCCTTGAATGTTTTGGTACACCTACTGGAGAGCTCTTCTTTGTCTACACCCATTCAGCATCGTTCACACCTTCTTAAGCATTAGCCCCACCTATCTCTTTAAGGATTCACTTGAGGCCATATCAAATACACCCTATATCAAATAAAATATACGTTTATTTGTCACATGCACAGGATACAGAAGGTGTAAACGGTACAGTGAAGTGGTTACTTGCATAGTAGCAATATCAAAAACAGATAGTGTCCAGATAAGAATATTTTATAAATTTTTGTCATTATTAGATGACTCTTGTCTAAATTGATGGGTCATGTGAAGGAAATGCTATAACCACCCCCAAGCCACATCTAGCTAAGTGGATGGGTCACTATTGTCTAGACATGTACACGTGTTCATGAAATACAATAGATGGCCGAAATCACCCCCAGACATACCTGGCTAATTTGATGGGTCATGTAATAATCTGGCCGAAGTGGAGTCTTTTGATTAGACATGTAGCTAGCTACCTAGCTAAACAATGAACCGGCAAAATCCCAACTCATACTACTACCAATACAAACATTGTCATAGCTGTAGGACTCTGAACACGTACTGAACAGCTCACGTTATAGACAGAAGCATGCTACATGGCAGACCAATCCAAACTCATCTCCCGGCATGTCCAGCCCATCCATTATCTCAGCCAATCATGGCTAGCGGGAAGGTTCCTGTCTTTTTCCATGGCTAAACCAACTAGGCTCGTAATTTAACAATTGTATTCATATTTATGGATGGAATACAAAATTTGTTATTAAGGCACATGTTCCAGAAGGGATTTCTGACAAAAAACGCATTTATGGCTTCATGTGTTTCGAACGTGAGCTTGTCCAAGGTGTCAGACTTGTTTTCCATTGGAGCGCTGCCATTGGTTGCCCAAAATTCTGAGGCGGGGTTAGTGAAGGGTCAATTGATTGCAAGCTTCACCATTTTTTGTTGTTGTTGGTTAAAACATTTATAGCCTGTCTATGTGTAACAGGGTTAACTTGTTATGCACAACCAGCTCAGTTTTCCAACACAAAACACCAGAAAAAGGCCAAAAAGAGTATAACCAGCTCAGCTGCTTTTACTCTATGATTGGACTATTAGATGTTTTTTTTAAAGGAATAGTTTCACCATATTAAAACGTGAGTTCTGTTGACGTAGCAGGGTTGACCTTCAAATGAGGGACAGATTTAAATGAATCACTAATCACATAATAATCTTCAGAAATGACTTTGTCAAAGCAACAAAATAACTAGGGCTTTACAATGATGGTGAAACTTTGAGACATTATGGGATTAAGTCGGTTAAAATCTTCCTAGAATTGACACAGGGTTGACGGAGGGACATGTCAAAATGCAGAATTTTGGCACTTTAGCAAGCCTTTATTCACATATTTATTGAATTCAGCATGTGATCTATATTAAAGGGCACTTCATTTAATATCACAGGCTTTTAAAATTCAATACCGGTGCACAATTTCTACTTAAAATATCCAAAGGGACGCAAAAGGCCTTATTTTCTTGGAACAACCCACCAACCTTAGTTGAATGCACTGACTGTAAGTCGCTCTGGATAAGAACGTCTACACAAATTGTTGTATATAGTGCCAAATAAGGGTTATTTGGCTAGTAACAATAGCAGAACCCTTTTTGGTGCTATAGACCTTTTCATCTGGCAAAACAATAACACATTCTATACACGCGCAACCAAGAGGTTCCCCACTAAATGTAGCTAGCATAAGAGCCCAGTGTTTGACAGCCACATTGTTTACACCAAAAGTTAGCTAGCAGCAGTAATTACCCCACTATCAACCTCTCTCTCCCCCCTCACCAATCTGTCTCTCCTAGCTGCTAGTCTGCTTCCTCCAAAACGCAACTATATTTTACCCAGGTGTATTGCCCACTTAGTTTCAATTAAGAAACATACTGTAGTTTTAATGAACATCTAGCTTGTGCTAAGCATGTATTATCGACCTCACGTTACAAAACCTAGCTAGTGGTTTGTTTACATGTAGTAATGCTAGACTATAATACAAAAGCTAGTGCTGACACCAGAGTTTCCTTTAGGAAAATTTGCAGCCGGCAACATGACCGGCAAGATTTTTATTTACCAGATATTTGAGAAATTTACCGGACATCCATATGCATTGGGTGCGTAACGCATTAGGGCGTCCACCCATGGTGCTCAAAATCACAATTAGATTATTGTAATTAATCTTAACAGAATAGAAATTAGCTTGTAAAGTTGTAATAAAATGAAGTAGAACGATGTTCTTATACCAACATTATTGAAAAGCAAAACATTGCCCATTGCATCTTCATCCCTGCTATAAATAATAAATGAATATGATTGAAATCAAGAAAAAAACATTTAGCCTGTCCAGTAATAAAACATAACTTCAAAATATAATATTTGTATAATTTGCGAACAACCTGTCCAAAATATAATATTTGTATAATTTGCGAACAACCTGTCCTAATAGGCTATTGTTATGAACATTTTAATGAATAAATAACAAAACAGCTGTTTTCAAATACAATCTAGGCCTCTCTAATTTAATTTAGTCTAGGCATGAACAATTGAATTAGGCCTAATAAATAACAAAACATAGCTGTCTACGAACACCAGGGCTGGCAGGTCATGGCTAGAAAGGATCCAGCTTTTGTTAAATTAACGTTAGATTTGACTTTTCGTAGCAGGTTAGTAGAACTTAAGCAGCAGGTTAAAATTAACCACTCCCCATTCCCGCTGCGATTCAGCAACACAGCAGTTGAAAGAGGACACTCTAGGCGGCCACAAAATTAAGAAATTATAAAACTAAGGTTGGACAATAAAATTCGATATGTAAATAAACAAAATTCGTTAAGGCTGGTTCATTGCGAGAAAGCTTATTTTACCATGCTCCTGTGAAACGAGGCCCGCGCCATGCATTTACGAAAGCACTTGTTTCCAAAGTTCAAATTCTATTACTCTTTTTACAGTTCTACTTGATGATGTTAATAAATGTTATGTTTATTGTAATTTGAACTATCATGGGGTCGTGACTCGTGTCATGTGTGATATACGTGTCTTATTGATAACAACTCTGTTTCCTACTATAGACAGTTGGCTGCTTAGTTGCAACATTGTACAGTGCATTCGTAAAGTATTCAGACCCCTTGACTTTTTCCACATTTTGTGACGTTACAGCCTTATTCTAAAATTGATGATATCGTTTTTTCCCCTCATCAATCTACACACAATACCCCATAATGACAAAGCAAAAACAGGTTTTTCTAAATATTTAGGCAAATTTATTTAAGAAAACTACTGAAATATTACATTTACATAAGTATTCAGACCCTTTACTCAGGACTTTGTTGAAGCACCTTTGGCAGCCATTACAGCCTCAAGTCTTCTTGGGTATGACGCTACAAGCTTGGCACACCTGTATTTGAGGAGTTTCTCCCATTCTTCTCTGCAGATCCTCTCAAGCTCTGTCAGGTTGCATTGGGAGTGTCGCTGCACAGCTATTTTCAGGTCTCTCCAGAGATGTTTGATCGGGTTCAAGTCCGGGCTCTGGCAGGGCCACTCAAGGACATTCAGAGACTTGTCCCGAAGCCACTCCTGCCTTGTCTTGACTGGGTGCTTAGGGTCGTTGTCCTGTTGGAAGGTGAACCTTCACCCCAGTCTGAGGTCCTGCGTGCTCTGGAGCAGGTTTTCATCAAGGATCTCTCTGTACTTTTGCTCTGTTCATCTTTCCCTCGATCCTGACTAGTCTCTCAGTCCCTGCTGCTGAAAAACATCCCCACAGCATGATGCTGCCACCACCATGCTTCACCGTAGGGATGGCACCAGGTTTCCTCCAGACGTGATGCTTGGCATTCAGACCAAAGAGTTCCATCTTGGTTTCATCAGACACAAGAATCTTGTTTCTCATGGTCTGAGAGT